TTGTCAGGAGGGACACGTACAACATAAAAACAAGTAACATAGCTGAATCTATTAATTCCGCACTAAAGCGAGCTAGAGGATTTCTGATTCAGTTCTTGTTGGAGTTCATAAGGGAGAAGCTAGGAAAGTGGTTTTGGAAAAGGAGAGAAGATGCTTTGAGTCTTCCAACTAAACATAGTCGAGGTGTTGAACACTTACTTGTTGTTCAATCGGAGATAGCGGATACGATGAAGGCCCAAGCAATTAATGGGAGATTCTTTGTGAAAGGTGTCAAATGGACTGTGTTGTTGATTTGGAACATGGAATGTGTGATTGTGGTGTCTATGCAGTGGAGAAAATACATTGCTCTTATGCTATAGCTGCTGGAACATATGCTGGTTTGCATATCTCCACACAAGAAACAAAGCAAATCCAACTTTCAGTTCTTATTCTTAAGATTTTATCTAGTCAATTTCTTGTTGGAAGAGGATGCATTACTAACCTCGGGTTCGTGCGTTTTAGGTTGAGAGCTAGTGTTTTGAGATAATGCCCCTTTCCTTTTTTTTGGTGATACCAACCTTCTTCTTCACAGCTTCCACCCTTTCCGACAGATGCGTGATCTCCTTAAGACACATCCCAAACCCTTCCCTCATGGCATAAAGTACATACTTCAAAGAATCATTAAACATTCTTTTAATATCCTCTTTGGTCATCCCAACAACAGTCATAGTCACCTCTGTAGGAACCTCTTCAGGTGCCTCTTTACGAGTTTTCTTTCGAGGTCTTTGACTGTCTTCCTTCACCATGACTATCTCTTTCTTTGGACTCACAACCGCTGGCTTTGTATTGACCCAAGTATCGGTGACTTCCCAGAAATCCATGGTCCACTTCCACGGTCTCTGATTAAACATGACTTTAATGATGTTCTCCGCGGCCGGGTCCTCAATATCAAAGTCCCATTGTGGAAACATTTCACCAATGTCCTTTTGAACAAAGTTGACCATCGTAGTCTGCAGTAAATAGAAGATATGAACTTAGATATTTGACGGTTAAGAAAGATGGAAAGAAAAAACTTCGCAGGCGACTTATAATTAAGTCGTCTAGAAAGTCTTCCAGCTGGACAACTTAGTAAAAGACTTATAATTTAGAGAGAATTGGAGAAATCACTCAATTTGGAATCGAACATCACGATCGAGATAGAGATGGAGTGACTCACGTCGATCGACATGCACCTAGCATGATCGATCGATACCAAAGGCGCGGAGACCAATTCGCGAGACATGCCAACTTGAAGCCTAAACATTGTCAAATGACGATTATACCCCTAACGAGTTTTAACCAAAGTTTATATATTATGCCAAAGTGTTAGAGGCAGAGAGAGATTTTTTGTATTCTTTTCACAGCAAAAGGTTTTAAGATTTTAGTTTGGGAGAGAAGATCAACATAGATATTTTTAATTGGAACTCCATTGTTTTCAATCTATCTATACTATGCAGTTTTATCAGTTTGCTTGTGTTATGAATTGCTTAGCCATATCTGAGTAATTCACTTGTTAGAATTAGGGTTTAAATAGTTTAGTGGGATTAGCCCTAACTATAGGATCGCTTGTTGTGGTATTCATTAATAAGATTTTTTTAATGCTTATGTTCTAGACTTGCTAACTAGAAACCTGAATCTAGGATTGTTAGCTTATTTAAATATCTTTTAATAACTCTGATATTCCTTAACACATCCTGATTAAGCTAGGATTTTACTGGAAATAGAGCGAAAGTTTGATCTGGAGATCCATAGTGAGTTTTTGTTAACTCGCGTGTAACGCTTGACTAGCCGTATCGATCGATCTTTCCATAAGAAATCGATCGATGTCGAGTAAAGTGAATCGGTCGATATTCCTCTAGAATAATCGATCGACATTGTCATTGATCGGACATTCTTGTCTTGGTCAACAACATTCTAGTCAATAGGCTTATTTATTAAATAAAAGTTCAGTAAATCTGCTGGTAAGATAGTTAATGCTCTTTAATACCATGCAAACAACTAGATAGCAACTATAGGATTGTAATCTCCATGAATAAATACTCTAAGTCTAACACTTTTACATTTAAGTTTCAAAACCCTCATTCCATTCATGTCGAGTAATTGTCTTGCTCAGTTAGAATATTTCATATTTACCATTTATTTGCTTATTGCGATTTACTCTTTATATTCACCTAGTTTTATTGATTGATTAGATTTAATAGGTTTCATAGTTCCTTGTGGATTCGATCCCTAAGTACTACAATAGATCTCTTATTTGAGAGAGTAAGTTGCTCCATAGGGTAAATTTGAGCACGTATCACTTAATTATAAGTCTTCTACTAAGTCGTCTAGTTGGAAGACTTTCCAAACGACTTAATTATAAGTTTTCTGCGAAGTCTTTTGGATTGAAGTAAATACATGTTTGCCGATAGCTTCTTTAAAGCATTTTCGTCCTTTGCCACCCTTGTAAGTCATTATTGGTGGAGACCGTCTGTTTGGTATGGTATTACCATTATTAGCACCCAATTCCGGTAGAGCTGTGTACACCCAGACCTAGAGAGCTTGTATAAACCTATCAACAGTGTAACAACCCGAAATATCTTTGCCCTTCACAGAGTCCATCAGAACCTTAAACGCGACTCTCCCCCATGGATAGTTCTCAAACCGTTCTAAATCCATCACTAGCCTTGCCAGATTAACCCATGTAGGCATTGAATACTTTCTCCCTTCAATGTATCCAGTGAAGATGGCAAGGTACCCCAGCCGCTTGCGATCAGCCCGAGACCACCCTTCGCATCTCTCAAATGCTGCTACTATCTGTTGAGTAGTTGGCCCAGCTTCGACATAAACTCCTAACATCTCCCAGAAAGAAGCCATCTCCTTTGTAACAACACAGTTCGGTCTCTCAAGGTCCTCGATGTACTCGCAGTTTAGACCAGTGAGGTTTTCAAACTCTAGCAGTGAAAACCTCAAAGGTTGTGGACCAACAAGATTCCACAGCTCATACTTCTTCTTTATGTCGAGCTGCAAAACCGAGCATGTAGTGAACCAGCCTTGGAGTCCAACCAAATCCCAGCTCTTTGAAGTTGATGAAAACTCCCAACTTCGGCTCATTCAACTATTCATATTCGTCATCATGAAGAGCATTCCTTAAAGCAGCAGGCAACTTCGAACAATCCGTATGATACGAAATGATATTCATTGAGGGGGGGGGGGCTCTTCCCCTACTGTATGTATCCTAAAGGGGAGTTCTGGAATATCATTTTTTTTTTGTCTGCAAAACAATCAAAGACAACCATCTCAAACACACAACCATCCAGTAGAACATTTTAATTATAAGTCTGGAAGACTTCCAATAGAACATTGTAAAGTCGACCTGACAATTAGGAAAAGATATAATCGCCTTCGACACAGCCGTTATGGATCTGCAAAAATAGATGTGGAAAAAGAAGCGCGGTGAGAACGAGTATAGATACACCTTAAGTCATAAATTGATAGACACGTCATTTTGTGTTCATCCTTTCCTCAATCAATCACTCGAAATTAAGAGATATAACTTACCGGCGGAGGAGTTCAACAAAACGCCTCTGAGAGAAAAGACGCTAGGGTTTACAGAGAACCAGCGGTGCAAACGAGACATGAAATGGCGCTAGGGTTGACAGAGACACGGCGCTAGGATTTCCTCTCAGATCTGAAATAAAGAAAGTGACAGTGAGAACGGTGGTGATAACAATGGTGATAATGGCAGAGAGATAACCGGCGGTGAGAACGATGGATTATAGAGAATCGACGGAAATCGCCTTCAAAATCGCCTTTGAGAGAAACTGCGTTAGAGTTTTCTGAATTTCGCAAGAAATGAGTAAAAAAAACCTCTTCTGGTTAGGTTTAAAAGTACATTGGTAAAATTAAAGGTTTGGTCCGGTTTGGACGACTTATTAGTAAGTCGTCTGTTGAATACTATACATCAAACGACTTACTAGTAAGTCGTCTACCATAAATATATTGACCAGACGATTTAATAGTAAGTCGTCCAGACCCTAAACTAAATTGACTAAATTAACTAACTAACCACGTTATAAAATCAAATTATATTTAAATAGTGTTTACTATACATCGAAATAAACACACTTAGGTAAATTTTAAATTTTTCAAAAAAAGCATTTATGTTTTCGAAAACTAACCCCAAGAACACATACAATACTACAACATATGTTGGCAAAACCTAAACCAAAAAATATTATGACTTACTACTTTCACTCATTTATGTTGAAAACAATTAAATTTTGTTATATATTAATTTATATCTCTTACTTGAAAGTCGATTAGTAAAGTTCTTCTAAAAAATAAATTTAAATTTTTGTAAATTTATATCTCTTTCGTGAAAGTCGTCTAGTAAACTTGAAAGTCGTTTGAACAGAATAATTGCGGGGGTTAGAAACATTAAAAATTAGGTTTTTATCTGTTCAAAAGGAGCTAGTTGTAATTTCAATAATCTTTTAGATTACTTTTGCTTTTGAAATCAAATTGTGATTCATATTTGGTATTTTTTGTTATAAGAAAATTTAATTAACATTAAATTGTAATATATTATATTACTAATAAATAAATAAATTCATTGTTTTATTACAAAATTGAAACTTTTAGTAAATAAATTTGTAACTAAAATACTTTTTTATGAATTATTAAGATTTTCTAGAAATTTTATATATTTAACTGATTAGTGTAAATAATTAAATAAGTTATATTAATGATATGGGGTCTAGTATGATTATTTATTAGAAGATTTTGTTAACAATAAAGAAGAAAATAATAATTGTTAGATATCCCTAGATTTAGGTCTATGATTATTTTACTTTGACAGCCCAAAAACTATAATAAATAACTGAAAAAATATTAATTTAAAGCACAACATTTCATTGTCAAAAAGCTCACAAAGTGTAGAGAAGTAGAATTGTTCCAAAAAAAAAGAACAAGTCTAGAGAAGTCTTTCACAAAGTCATCGGAGAAGATGTCGTGGCAATCGTACGTTGACGACCACCTTATGTGCGATGTCGAAGGAAACCACCTCACCGCAGCCGCTATTCTCGGGCAAGACGGCAGTGTCTGGGCTCAAAGCGCCGCTTTCCCTCAGGTTTCTTTTTTTTTTTTTTTTTTTTTTTTTTTTTT